TTGAGATGATTCATTAACCCAGAGAATTCGTTGAAGGTMATGATCTTTGGGATGCACTTGGATTTTGCGAAACATTTTTACAATGTCCGTAATGAAAATGTACTTGTGCTGCCTGATCCACAGCAGTACATCGAAAATGTCCGTTTGAGTCTTTGGCTCAGTGTGCATAAGATCATTGAGAGAGATACCGGTTGAAGACTTGGCTGAACCGTTAACAACTACCCGCAGTTTGGTAGAGGGACTTTGTTCGCGCCAAACTCCGTGATGCGGGAGGTAATACGCCTGAGATGGCTCAGGAGCATCGAGAGGAACAGGAACCATATGTCCTAAAGACTCATATTCTTTAAAGAAATCAGAGTAGGTCTCCTTGAAATGCCCATCGGTTTCAAATTTCTTGAGAAGTCTTTTAAGGCATCACGTTACAAGAGATCTTGAATGCCCTAAGGTGGATATGTCTTTCGAGAACGGCAGGCGAACCATGTAACGACCAGTTAGCAATCAAAAGTGCGTATCAACAAAGTGCTGCTCGCATTGCGATTCAGCGAGACTCATGGTTGACGCGGGGGAAGATGAGACTTCTTCCTGAACCCAGAATTTTGTGAAAGCTTTGTCAAAAGATTCGTTAGAGATGGCATGGCAATTTTTGAGAGGATCGACCTTGCTCGGGCTGGAAGTTGCTCCTAGAACTGCCCAACCGAACCTGGTGTAGAAGGCTATAGGTTCTGAGTCGCCTCTCATAACAAGGCGAGAGGACTTGAGAACTCTTCTGAGATTATCAGCACCAATGAAAATGTCAATGTGATCTGGAGTGAGAAAGTCAGGATCCGCTAATTTAAGGGATCTGAGATGAGGCCAATCTTGCTCTGATATTACAGAAGACGGCAATTGAGATGTGACTTTTGGCAAAATGAATGCCGTAAGATGAACGCGAGATGAAAAGTATGTCGATTGGAGGACCAAGAACACTTGACCTTGGGTCGCTCCTGGAGATGTACTACCCACACCCTGGATAGAAATGTTTCTTGGAGATCGGCTAAGCTTTAGCTTAGCTATGAGTGTAGAGGAGAATAAAGTCAACTCTGATCCAGGATCAATGAGAAGACGTACTAATTTAGGCGATCCATTTGAAGAAATGGCAAAGGCTTTACAAGTAGCTAAGAGTACTGGAGCTCAAGAGCACGTTGAAAGCGATGGAATAGACGAACGATCGATGTCGGAGATTGGTGACGAGAATCTGACTCGTTTGGTCGTCTTAGAGGACCTTGAGGAAGATGAGATGGTCGATTTTAAGATGGATCTGAGAGGACGGTGTGGGTAATGAGATGTCCTACTTACTCCTCATTCTGAGGACGCCTTTTTTGAAGAGTTTTGAGAAGAAATCTTCTTGGTAGGTATGGACTTTGGTGGAGATGAATGAGTGGAAGATGACTTGTGAGAGGAGCCATGAACTGAAGCCTTCGGTTTGGAGAGAGGTCTGGGAGTCGATGTACCGGAAGTGGATGATGATAACTTCGGACTAGAGGATCGGCGATGAGATGACTTTTTGGGAGATTTACGATGATCCTCTCTCGGTTACTCATCCGACGATACCCGTGAGCCCTGCGAGGACGAGACTCTCTGAGATGTCTGTGTTATCTCTGAGAGAGAGCTTAAAGTCCTTGAGATTGGCAGCGATGATCTTGATTTAGAAGGAGATGTCCTAGACGATGTTGGAGGAGATGTCTTTGAGATTGGATGAGATGTTCTGGAGATTGGAGGAGATGTTTTGGAGATTGGAGGAGATGTTCTGGAGATTGGAGTAGATGTTCTGGATGTAGGAGTAGATGTTCTGGATGTAGGAGGAGATGTCCTGTGCGATGTCATCCTTTTCTCGGGATGTATGAGCGTGTGGTGCTGATCTCCACACTGGTTGCATCGCCTAGTACTCCTACATTGCCTAACGTTATGCCTGCCCAAGCAGTTGTAACATAGGCGCGATTCTGCTATGACCTTCTCCTTCTTCTGTTGATTTAACTTCCTGAAGAGAGGGCAAAAGGCGATGTAGTGCTTATTACTACAATAGCTGCAGTTATTGAAGAGATCGTTGATAAATGGCAAAGGATGTTTTCCGATTGGCCTTTTATCTACTGCAAATTGAGATGATCCGGGCTTCTGAGATGTCTTCGCCGGCGTGGTAGCCACAGCCTTCACGTTCATGGCCCTTGCATAGGACCTTGTGGGGGGAGATTTAGGCCGTTGAGATGTCTTCCTGAATCCCTCGTAAGACCTACGAGTYTYGATATGTTCCAGTGCTCTAGCCGTGCTAGTGAGATGACTCATTAGTTTATCTAGCGGTGGGAACTCGCGTGATGTTCCTAGTTTGGTTTCCCAGTCTTGTCGTCCCACGCTAATCCCACCTGAAGAACGAGAATGTGATCCTATTGGTTGGTCGGGCATCCTAATTACTCTAGAGAACTGAGAGATGACGTTACTATATTGATTAATTTGTTGAGGGATCCAGATGACCTTTCCTTGTTGCGAGGAAGGGCCATCAGCCTATCAAGATGAGCCAGGATTAATAGGCGTTTGTTGTCAAATCTGTCTGACAATCTATTCCATGCAATCGTAAAAGAATCAGCGGATAATTTCAGATCTGAGATGACTTTAGCCGCTTCTCCCTCCAGGATGGTTCTGAGATAGTGTAACTTTTCCACTTGTGAGAGGTCTGAGTTGTCTTTTATCATTGAGGAAAATAGTTCCTCAAAGGGTCTCCACTCTGAGAAGGCACCGGAGAACTTCGGTAATGAGATATTGGGAAGTACTGTCCTAAAACGAGATGCTCTTTGAGATGTGACAGGCGGTGCTTGCTGGGAGAGTTCTTCTATCCGCAAGCTTAACAGCGTTACTCCGCCTAGATATGCCTGCATTGTCGCATCGTAGCGGTTTTCCTTAAAATACGACTGTTCTGTTGCTGTCTCGCGAGATGACGATACGATGCGGTCGTGTTCGGCATCGAATTTTGACTATGCTGATCGAAGCAACTCCCTTGTGTCGACAGCGGTTGAGAAATCCATAGCGTAAAAGTTTTTTGCATTGGCAGTCAGATTCGAGATGGTGTTAGCCCGCGCCTCTTGCAGCGCTGGTTTCGCTGCAATCTTGAAGCAGGATTGCGGTGACTAGGCGAGAGTGCAGTGTAGTGGTGGGGCAGTCCCCACTACTTCTGGAGATGACGATAATTCTCTAGTGCCGGATTCCTGCGCTACTTAGATTTTCCCTAGTGGACTAGAGACGTGGGAACTAACACCCTGTACTTTGAGAAGCCGAATTTTAAATGACGCTAATGGTGCCTTGAACTGTTTTTCCTGTCGCAGCACATCGTCCTGGGTGCTCAGCAATGCGACAGGGGTTGTACACGACACTTTTCACAAACGTTAAATCTTGCTACACTCACAATTAATTCTAAGATCCGGCTCGAAGGACCAAAAAATGTTCGAGAGAGAAAGATTAGTAGGTTTGAAAAAGATGCTCTACGAGAAGACAAGGAGATAGGCGAGATAGGCTAGTGGACTGTATAAATGAGGAATTTACTGGTAGAATTTATGTGTAACAAGATTTATTAGATATTATGTACACAAAAATAGAGATAGCGAAAGTATAATAGATTTTTTGCAAGCAGTAATAGATAAGCTACGCCACGTGTACCAGATATCATGCCACGTGTACCGGAAGTACGTAGCACGAGAAGCCGTTAGAAAAAAAAGAAGGAAAATGTGATAATGAGAAACGAAAGAATTGATGAAACGAAGAGTACAACAAAAATGAGAGGTCAGAACAAATAAAGAGAGGTTCAGATTAGAGATAAAGGTTGTGAGATTACCTGAGAAGTCGTTAATGAGAGAGAGTTTAAAGAGATGGTCTAGATGAGGAAACGCGAGGTGAAAGATGAGATGGAACGGTGAGAGATAAGAATTAAAGCGAGATGAAGACTATGAGATGAATTCACAAATTTCAGAGATTGCTAAATATACGTCCGCACTGTTTAACTTCGTAGAAGATTGTGTCGGACCACGCCACTTTTCGGTTCGATTAGAGGAAACGAGCGGAAGTGGAGAAAAGACAATACACCAATTAGCGAGTTCCACGCTAGGAAGAGATGACCAACAATCAATAGAAAGGAAACACGCAGAGGATGACGACACAGGGGACCAATGACCTATTGACACGTCAAGTGGCGTGATCTCTGGATCAATAGCGATAACAGACAACGCATTGATCATGCTAGCCAAGAGGTGCTGCTATCTAGTCTAAAGGGCGCAATTTTCGAACATTAGTATACGCTTTAAAAGTTAAAAGCAAATGTTTTATAGCTTTTGTTCTACAGCATTTCTTTAGATATCTGATAGTTTTTACTAATAATTATTCTAGAAAGCAGCGAAAATTTTTCCTAAATATATTACAAAGTTTTTTGCGAAAGTACAATGTGCTATTGAAAACAAGACAGAATAAATGTCAGGATTACTACAATCGAGTTTTGATGAAATATAATTGACTGCTACACGAAAAGTAACCAGACAAAGTTGTAATAAAATGATTTTTTTTTGTTTTCTCCGACTGCAGTTGTTGTAAAATAAATGATATATGCTAGTTTCTTTTGGACCGGACACTTTTCATTTGTTAGTATTCGCTTTAAAACTTGATAGAAAATTTCTTATAGCTTTTGTTATATAGCTCTTTTTAAAAATTTTAGTTTTTAACTACGATTTAATCCAAAAAGTAGCGAAAATTTCTTTTTAATATAATAATACCTTTGTAGCAACGGTAAAACTGAACTACTAGAAACTAAACAGAATAGATGTTTGGTTGACTACATTCGAGTTTTGTTCAAAAAAAATTAAATTCTTCACGTAAAGTAACAAATAAAAGTTGTAATAAAATCATTTTTTTTCTGTATTTGGACTGCAGTTGTTAAAATATAAATATTATTTGCTCGATTTTATTGGACTTAACACTTTTCATTTGTTAGTATACGCTTTGAAAGTTGAAAGAAAATATTTTATAGCTCTTGTTGTATAGCATTTCTTTAGATACCAGATAATTTTTACTAATAGTTATTTCAGAAAGCATCGAAAATTTTTTTTAAATATATTGAAAAGTTTTTGGCGAAAGTACAATGTGCTATTAGAAACAAGACAGAATGGATGTCTGGTTTAAAACAATCGAGTCTCGACGAAAGAGAATTGAATTCTAAACGTATAGTAACCAAAAATTTTGTAATAAAATAAATTTTTTCCTTTTTCTTGACTGCAGTAGTCCAAATATAAATGATGTTTGCATAATTATTTCAGACTTAACACTTTTTATTTGTATGTATACGCTTTAAAGCTGAAGAGAAAACGTTTATAGCGTCTGTAAAATAGCATTTTTTTAGATTGTTTTTAATTTTTGACTACGCTTTAATCCACAAAAGTAGCGAAAATTTCTTCTTAAATATATTGAAAATTTTTTAGCAAAGGTTGAAATGTGCTTTTAGAAACTATACAGAAATGATGTTTAATTTACTACAATCGAATTTTGTTAAAATATAATTGAATGCTACACGAAAAGTAACCAAAAAATGTTTTAATAATTAGATTTTTTTTTGTTTTCTTTGACTGCAGTATTTGTAAAACAAATGATATATGCTAGTTTTTATTGGACCGGACACTTTTCATTTGTTAGTATTCGCTTTAAAACTTGATAGCAAATTTCTTATAGCTTTTGGTATATAGCTCTTTTATAGAAACTTTATAGTTTTTAACTACGGTTTTTATCCAGAAAGTAGCAAAAATTTCCCTTTAAATATAATAATACACTTTTAGCAAAGGTAAAAATGAACTACTAGCAACTAAACAGAATTGATTTTGGGTTGACAACAATCGAATTTCTTTAATATTTTAATTGAATTCTACACGTGATGTAACCAAAAAAAGGTGTAAAATAATGATTTTTTCTGTTCTCCTCGACTGCAGTTGTTGTAAAATAAATGATGTATGCTAAATTTTTTTAGCAATAACACTTTTTATTTGTTAGTATACGCCTTAAAACATAAAACAGAACGTTTTATAGCTTTTGTTATATAGCTCTTTTTTAGAAATTTCATAGTTTTTCACAACCGTTTTAATCCAGAAAGTAGTAAAAATTTCTTTTTAAATATAATAATACATTTTTAGAAACGGTAAAAATGTGCTACCACGAACAAATCAGAATGGACGTCAGGTTTCTACAATCGAGTTTTGTTGAAAAAGGATTGAATTCTTCACGTAAAGTAACAAGAAAAAGTAGTAATAAAATGATTTTTTTCTGTTTTTGGACTGCAGTTGTTAAAGTATAAATGTTATTTGCTCGATTTTATTGGACTTCCCACTTTGCATTTGTTAGTATACGCTTTAAAAGTTGAAAGAAAATGTTTTATAACTTTTGTTCTATAGCATTTCTTTAGATACAAGATAGTTTTTACTAATAGTTATTCTAGAAAGCAGCGAAAATTTTTTTTAAATATATTGAAAAGTTTTAGGCGAAAGTACAATGTGCTATTAGAAACAAGACAGAATGGATGTCAGGTTTACAACAATCGAGTTTCGACGAAAGAGAATTTAACTCTAAACGTATAGTAACCAAAAATGTCGTAATAAAATAAATTTTTTCCTTTTTCTTGACTGCAGTAGTCCAAATATAAATGATGTTTGCATAATAATTTCGGACTTAACACTTTTTATTTGTATGTATACGCTTTAAAGCTGAAGAGAAAACGTTTATAGCGTCTGTAAAAAAGCACTTTTTTAGATTGTTTTTAATTTTTGACTACGCTTTAATCTACAAAAGTAGCGAAAATTTCTTTTTAGATATGTTAAAAATTTTTTAGCGTAGGTTAAAATGTGCTTTTAGGAACTATACAGAAAAGATGTTTGGTTTACAACAATCGAATTTTGTTGAAATATAATTGAATGCTACACGAAAAAAAACCAAAAAAAGTTCTAATAAAATTATTTTTTTTTGTTTTCTTCGACTGCAGTATTTGTAAAACAAATGATATATGCTAGTTTTTATTGGACCGGACACTTTTCATTTGTTAGTATTCGCTTTAAAACTTGATAGCAAATTTCTTATAGCTTTTGGTATATAGCTCTTTTTAAGAAATTTTATAGTTTTTAACTACGATTTAATCCAAAAAGTAGCGAAAATTTCTTTTTAATATAATAATACCTTTGTAGCAACGGTAAAACTGAACTACTAGAAACTAAACAGAATAGATGTTTGGTTGACTACAATCGAGTTTTGTTGAAAAAAAATTGAATTCTTCACGTAAAGTAACAAAAAGAAGATAAAAAAAATAATTTTTTCTTCTTTTTTGGACTGCAGAAGGTATAATATAAATGTTTTTTGCTTGATTTTATTAGACTTAACAGTTTTCATTTTTTAGTATACGCTTTAAAACTTGAAAGAAAATTTTTTATAACTTTTGTTCTATAGCATTTCTTTAGATATCTAATAGTTTTTACTAATAGTTATTCAAGAAAGCAGCGAAAATTTTTCTTAAATATATTTAAAAGTTTTTTGCGATGGTACAATGTGCTATTAAAAAAAATGAATGGATGTCAGGTTGACTACAATCGAGTTTCAATAAAACAGAATTGAATTCTACACGTAATGTAACCAAAAAATGTCGTAATAAAATGATTTTTTTCTTTTTTCTTGAATGCAGTAGTCCAAATATAAATAATGTCTGCATAATTTATTCGTACTTATCACTTTTCTTTGTAAGTATACGCTTTAGAGCTTGAAAAAATAACGTTTTATATCGTCTGTTAAATAGCACTTTTTTAAATTATTTTTAATTTTTAACTACACTTTAATCCAGGTAGCAGAAAAAATTTCTTTTTAAATATAT